GTCTTTTTATAGCTAAATGCGTTTTTATAGCTTGTTGAAATTGCCACTTTTAGGGTATGAGCCAAAACGCACTGTTTTTGTGTTTATCCCTTTAAATGAAAATGAGCTGGTGCTCCTGCCTCCCTTTTCAGAAGGGGGTGGAGCTTCAAGAGCTCATGCTCCGGTATACAGGCAACAACAAAACAGGACAATCTTACGCAATCTGATTAGGGATGCACCGAAATGAAAATTATTGGCCGAAACTGAACAAAATGAAACACTAAGCTGAAGGCCGAATACTGAACATGGTAGGGTTGTGCAATTAATTGCATGCGATTGTCAAGCGTAGTAGTTTATTAGTAGTAAATCTCCATCACCTGCTTTCAGATGGAGCGGCATTTACTACACAGAGCCGTAGTTCACTGACAATTAGGCAATATCGCGTTCATAATCGCAGATTAATCGCATTCGATTATGAACGCGATATTGCCTAGCTTGTCAGTGAACTACGGCTCTGTGTATTAAATGCCGCTCCATCTGAAAGCAGGTGATGGAGATTTACTACTAATCACGGAACTGGCTTTACTGATGAGATGTGCATGACAATCGCATGTGATTAATTGCACAGCCCTAGAACATGGTTTTTCAAGTTTTTTTCCCCATGTATTTTGCCAATGTTTTTCACCATTGCATAAATTAAATAGCCAAAATGTGTTTTTTACTGATTTGTCTTGCTTTTCAAAGAAAAAAATCAATTACAAAAGAACAATTTAAGAATATTTAACACTGAACATTTTTAACTTTCTAGCAGACACTATACCAACAAAGCACAATTTAACTTAAAATTAATAAGTTAGTAAAATAATATTTTTTGGCCATAAGACCCCCTTCTTGAATCAGGCATGTATTTTTTACTGTAAAATTAAAATCAGCCTTGCTGAGAAGAGACTTCTTTTAAAACATTAGAACACGATGTGTGAATGTTATAATAAATGTATTAACAGAGCTGTTGTAATTTTTATCATCATTATTATTGTCTTACTTTTCATTTTATGTTACAGAACAACAGTAAAATGACAATACTAACATTTATGAATGTTGATGGAGTTCTTGCTTTTTCTCAACTTTTATTTTGGCGGAAACGCGCAGAAAGACATTAATGCTTCTTTTTGTTGACAACAGCAGATTTATAAATGAGTTTCATTACGAATATGTCGTACATATCGCATTGTCACATGCCTTGTAAAAATTCATAAAAATGTGACTGAGTAACTGACGAGTAACACTGTTTCAGTGCAGATTTTCCTCGCGCTTTGAACTTTGAGCCCTGGTTAACAAGCAGATAGCGCGCCGAGTTCGTGCAGCGCTGTCAGAATACATGCAATTTGTGCGTGTATTAGAAAACATAACGTTCTGAAGTTTATTTACAAATTGTTTAAGGCCATTTCGCAATTTCAATCATCATACAGTAACCAGCAACAATCACCCCTTCCTCTTCTCATCGAAGACATGCGATGCAGTACTAAACAGTCTCTTGCTGTCAGTGTTTTTAATGATTTTTTCGTCTTTCTCTGACAGTTTTAAATGCTTCCACACTGCTGACATGTGCCCTGCATTATAAAGAGTGCGCGCCTCTCACTCTTCGCTGGTTGCTATTTGATCGCATCATATCATTGTTCGGTACAATTTATTCGGTCTCTTCTCTTATTCGGCCGAACACCAATAGAGTTTTTTCTGCAATTTTCGGCCAAATAATTTTGGTTGTCGAACATTCGGTGCATCTCTAAATCTGATTGTAACTGTGCACAGTAAATGCGCGTTTATGAATTACACAGATGGGGAGCACGGCATGATAAAAATTACGATATAGCTGGTCTCATGGTGCCTTCGCATGCTATCACATTATGAGCTTGACAACTTCAAGCGGTCGACTTCACATTGCTTTCAAATGCAATTTTTAACTACCACATTCCCATTTACGATCATTCCGGTAGCATGTGAAGGCAGCATTAGTGAAAACAGGCAGAGACGATGGTAGCTTTAGCAACATTAGCCTTACAGAGTGCCAAGAAGCTCTTTTGGAAAACAAAATATGATGTAGCTGGAGCTGATGTTCGTGCACGAAGCATTGGTATCGATCCCTCTTTCCGAAGTAACCTTTGCACAACTCCAGCACTGAACTGACCCTCGTCTGATAAAATGATTAGCACAAACATATAGGACTTTTCATTTTTTTCCCCGGGATATTTCTTTCGAAACTGAAATTTAACCACCGTGTCCTCAGTGTTTTATGGAGACCTATGTTTGTTGGTGCATCCCAACACGCTTTGAAAATGTCTCTTTGGCTCTGACATTGTATCTCCAGCAGCTACAGCAAAAAACAGTAATGGCGGACTGCTGCTTCTCACTCAGGGCTGTGTCTATGCTAATGGTAGAGATCATCACAAATGGGCGGGACTTTCCCTAGTATGATGTCATTATAGGGAGAAATCTGGAATCACTCGTTTGAAGAGACTGTTTATGATTTATTGGGATTATAAAAAAATGAGTGGGTGGATTTTTACCATTATAGGCTGGTTGTTTTCACAACAACTGTGTTCAAACACCTTATAAAAGTGATTTTTGCATAATAGGTCACCTTTAAACTTGAGCGTTGCAGGTTTACCTCCGAGGGTGATTGAGACCATTCAGAACTCAAGGGTGGCTTCAACGCGCTCTGCATATGATCGGAAATGGAATGTGTTTGAGCAATGATGCATTCACAGACACATTGTCCCTTTTCTCTGTTCTGCTACGGTGGTGGTATGTTTTCTGCAGGAATTTTTTGATAAGGGCAGAGCCTTTTCAACAGTTAAGGTTTACCTCGCAGCAATTTCGGCATGCCATATGGGAGTTGACAACACCATAGGTCAACAACCATTCATATGCAGGTTTATGAGAGGTGTGTGGCGTTTAAACAGAGTTTCTAAGCCTCTGATTCCACCATGGGATCTGTCCGTGGTCCTCAATGCGTTATCTCAACCTCCTTTTGAGCCTGTAGATGGTATTGATTTGAAGCTCCTTTCACTAAAAGCAGCTTTATTATTGGCTCTATCAACCTCGCCTTGAGTTAGTGAGCTTAACGCGTAGTCGGTTAATAGCTCCTGTATGCAGTTCGCTATGGATTACTCGAGGGTAACTCTCAAAACTAATCCGGCGTTTGTACCTAAAGTAAGCGAGTCAGCTTTTGCCTACAAACAGGTGGATTTACTGGCTTTCCATTCGCCACCTTTCTCATCATCGGAGGATGAGCGGCTTCACTGTTTGTGCCCTGTCCGTGCATTGCGTCACTATGTGGACAGAACGAAAGCACGAGGAGTAATCAGCTATTTGTTTCCTGGGCTGATTCTCATAAGGGTAAACCTATTTCACGTCAGCGTCTGTCCCACTGGGTAGTGGAAGCTATTATATAAGCTTATAATAACATGGGTCTCTGTACTCTGGAGGGCCTAAGGGCTCACTCTACCAGGGGTATGGCGACCTCTTGGGCACTATTTAAGGGTGTGTCAGTGCAGGACATTTGTGCGGCAGCAAGCTGGGCTTCACCTCACACTTTTGTCCGATTTTATAGACTGGGCGTCACAGAGCCTTCACTGGCTCATTCTGTCCTAAGTGTAGAAAAAAAAAGAAAAGAACAAGAACACATGTTTGCAAGGTGTTTTTTGTTCGCACATATTCCCGTTCTATCTGGAGGATAGTTACAGTTTTTTGTGTTGTTGACATGCCTGCTTTAGACAGCATATCTGCAATACGGGAATTGTCTATATCCCATAGTGAGATACCGAGCGAATATTTGAAAGAGAACGTTAGGTTACTTACGTAACCCTGGTTCTCTGATGACATGATTGAGGTATCTCACCACACTTCCCTCCTTGCAGGTGCACGGAGAAAAGATATGCTGAGAATGAAGTGGGGACCGCTGTCAGGGATATATATAGGGGAGGCGGGATTAATATAAATATTTTTGACATAAAAGATTACATACATATAATAAAGTTAGAAAAAATGTCATTACAAAGGTAAAAAAAAAAGCCTCTGCAAATAATTTTAAGGAGTCAAATATTGCTCTCTTATAATGAGAAGGTTCATGTTTTTATTTATTTCTTTTTAAGTAGGAGCACAAGCTCTTATAAAAAAGAAATTTAAGAGTCCTGAATAATGTAATGTTACTGTTTACAAACTAATTGCAAAGGTATATGCAAAGTGTAAACTATTATGTATAATCTACACATCATGCAATACTGTACCACTAAATAATGGGGGAGGACGCAGTCCAGGGAGTGAATTTCAGGGGTGGTGGCATTCCACTTCCAACTGCTTAGGTTTTTTTGGAAATTGAAGGATTTTCATAATTTTATCCATTCAATAGCTTCTTCTGTGCCACCTCCTAGTGCAAAGATGAATTGTTGATGATTTCATTTGACTGGTAACTTATTCTTCCTGATTGTGTCTTATTTTGAAAAAGTTTATAAATATAAATATTTTTGACATAAAAGATTACATACATATAATAAAGTTAGAAAAAATGTCATTACAAAGGTAAAAAAAAAAGCCCCTGCAAATAATTTTAAGGAGTCAAATATTGCTCTCTTATAATGAGAAGGTTCATGTTTTTATTTATTTATTTTTAAGTAGAAGTCCTGAATAATGTAATGTTACTGTTTACAAACTAATTGCAAAGGTATATGCAAAGTGTAAACTATTATGTATAATCTACACATCATGCAATACTGTACCACTAAATAAAAAAATGTTTTTATGGAGGGCTTAATCAGGCCAATTAGAGAATTACTAATCATTCTCATTTTTTCCTAAATCATTCTTTCATTTCACTAATATAGTTTTTAATATAAAAAAAGCAGCAATGTCGTTATTCGGCTTGAGTTCAATGGTGATTACATTCAGACCAATACAAGTATCGCTGTTGCAAAATATAAATTTAACACGATTTGTGGAAAATACAGGTTATTCCCTTGCCTTACCAAGAGCTTCATCGTTGTCCTCAGTATCACTGGCCAGTCTGAACAGAGTAGGTCTCATTTTCTCACAGCGCTGGTACAGATCCTACAATGACACAACAAAGACCATACAGAATTATTTAACAAAAATATATACTCAACTTACATTATGTGAAAAATGTATTTGCTGCTCTGATTGTGGGTGCGTCTCAATCAGCTCCCTAGCTCGTGAATCAGTATATCGTGTACACGAATTCGGTCACTGGTAAGTTACCTAGCTCACTGCACATTGGGACAGTGATTACTCAATTTCCGGTGACATGACTATGTACAACATCAACGGACAACATTATAGAACGTCACCGCTGTAATTAATCAACTACAGGCAGGAACAATATCTTTTTGATTTAATTTTTTATTTTCTTTAAACACATTGTTCTTTTACATGTTCTTACAACATTTTAAGCCGAATATTAATTAAAAATGTTAACTAGATGCGATCAGTACCCATCTAGCGATGCGTGTTTATGTTGAAATATACTAAAAATCCGTTTTTGTGTCAGTCTTCTATCACGTATCATTTTATTTATCAAGTTGGCTCGTGTGGTTTATGTTTTGTGCTTCAGAAATGTGATATAATTTCCGGTAAGGGAGCATAGTGAGCACCGATGCTCCCTAGTTTTTGCGGTGCATTGTGGGATTTTTCAGGGAGCGAACATTCCAGTGAACTGGAAGGATTTCCCGATTGTGACAACCCTTAAAATGGCCGACTCCCTGATCAGTGCCTTGACTACTGAACTAGGGAGCTGATTGAGACGCACCGTGTGTTTAGTGATGTAGTAGTTTTGATTCCTACACATTTTCCATTTCAAAATTCCATACTTTACCCGACTCAAATTTCCAAACATCACAGTAGACTTTCAGACCATATTTAACATAAATAGTTCATACAGCATTACTTGCAGCTGTATATTTGGTATATAGTACAGTCATCTGTAAATATTTTTTCATTGATTTTCTCGAAGTGTCAACATACAGAGCCCCTAAAATAAAAAATAATAATAACAAAAATAGACTTTTGTATGCATACAAGAAACTATTCTCATGCGCATGGGAATTTTTTACATTTGCATATTACAATTTCTAGTTTTATATAACCCATTTCCTTTGTGCATCAGTGGCATCTTACTATGAATTAAACGAGAGCAGGGATGCACATGAATTAATAGAGATCTACTTGCTCAAAATTTGGCTTTGGTAGTACCTCTAATATCAAGGCCTAATGTCCAATTTAACATATCCTCTGTGGCCGCGGAGAAACCATGACACAAAATTGGCTAATGGAATAATACGGCTGTGTGCATGGTCCTATTTGCCAAGTTCAAGGGTCTATAAAAAAAGACTGCTACTGTAGAAAAAAAAGTGTTCAAAATTTGGTTAAGGCAGTACGTTATATTTCAAGGCCTTAGGTCTGCCAAACCCAAAAAGCTTATAACCTGCATTTCACATAATGAAAAAGTGCACCTCGAATTCATTCAGTCATGTTTGACAATCACTAATCAATCACTAAACAACTGCCATGAAAACACACTTCTTGTATGATACATTTATTTTCATTAAATTCTTAATTTTCTATTATAAAAAACTAAACGGGCAAAAGTCTGGAAATGCAAATATTTTTCCATACCCTGCTTTCTTTTTTTTCATACTTTTCCAGACCTGGAAATTACTTAAATTAAATTCCATAATTTTACAAACCACATAGGAACCCTCAGTCCACTACTGTCATGTCAGGACTTTAGGAGTGTGACAGGCTGTTTTGCAGACATGTGTATTACAGACCTTAATTAGCTCCTCAGTGCTATGTGAGCCACTCTCTTTGCTGTAATCTCCCAGTAACTGTGTGAGAAGTCCAACACTCTCCTTTACTTCCTGAATAGCATTCACTCTCTTCGACACCTTCTCCATACGCTTCTGATCCTGAAAACAGAGTGTATGAATTACACACAGCAGATCGTCAGAGCTTACGCAGGAAAAGTGCAGTTCATGGACTTACTCTCACTTAATGTATCAATTTTTGCTGCTTTGAATTTCACCATACCCAAAAAAAAAACTCAAAAGACGTTAAATCAGTTAAATGTCAAAAATGTTGAACTTGTATTTCCTGCTTCTGTTCTTCTGACAGCTGGATGAAAAAGCAGCTAAAAGGTGAACTGTGTGCTGCAGCATCTATTGTTCCCATGTAATTGTTATTTTTTTCAGACAGACAGATACTTGTTTTGATTTGGTGTGAATAGACCATTCTTTGTCCTTTCATATTGTTTTTTACACATTGCTGTGCTGAGAATTAGACACTAAGAGTTAATCCAATATCCAGGACAGACAGACACACACACACACACACACACACACACACACACATCTACACACCTCCTGAACCATTTCTTTAATGAGTTTGTTTGCCGCTCGCAGGTCCTCAGGGTGAGAGCTATTCAGAAGACGAGACAACATCTATAGAATCAGAAAGAAAAAAAAAACATTGAGAGAGTGGACAGACATAAGTGAAGTCATAATTATTTCTTCATGGTTTACACATATAGTAACATATAGTTTGGTAACATAATAGTTTAAAATTGATCAATCTGACTCCCGAAACCTTCTTAGGTTTTAATCACTGTAAACAGAGTAAAGACATACGGAAATAAACAGTAAAAAAAATAATAAAAAACAATTCCTACAGACAGACAGACACACACACACACACACACACACACACACACATCTACACACCTCCTGAACCATTTCTTTAATGAGTTTGTTTGCCGCTCGCAGGTCCTCAGGGTGAGAGCTATTCAGAAGACGAGACAACATCTATAGAATCAGAAAGAAAAAAAAAAACATTGAGAGAGTGGACAGACATAAGTGAAGTCATAATTATTTCTTCATGGTTTACACATATAGTAACATATAGTTTGGTAACATAATAGTTTAAAATTGATCAATCTGACTCCCGAAACCTTCTTAGGTTTTAATCACTGTAAACAGAGTAAAGACATACGGAAATAAACAGTAAAAAAAATAATAAAAAACAATTCCTAAACTGCATCTTAACAACCTTTGATTTCTCCTCATCCTCAAAGATGGCGTTTTTAGGCCTGGGCAGTGGAGGAGGGCAGAGCTTGTCATCAGGAAGGTCTGGGTCCTGTTTAATAATACCTAAAATGAGATGCAGAGCATAAACATAATGTAGCATATTTATTACCAAACACTCCACAACACACAATCGCAACAACAACATAGGACAAACAGCAAGTCCCACAAGAGAGCTTTATCATTTCACACGTTTGTTTACCATAACTTTTAACAGCATTCATGAAAGTACAAATGTCAGAATAGTTATTGACCACACATGTATCAGCTTTGAGATGTAGTTAAATACATGATAGTTATGACAAATCAGGACCCTGCATGTCAGGTTACCTTGTTTCTTAAGCATCTGATAAGCATCAGAAATCTTTGTCTCCTCTGGTAAACACACAGTCCAGCTGTACATCACTTCTAAAACTTTTTTCTTCACTGGTTCTGGGGCTCGAGAACCTAGATACTGTAACAAAAATAGAGTACATGGACAGTTATTGAATATAAGTTAAAGGAAATATTTAGACACATTAAAGATATTGAGTACTAGTGTTCCCATTCTAAGCAGCAAGAGACATTCTCCTGAGTATGTATGAGTAAGGTGTATAACTGCACAGTGTCTGCATTTAAATCACCAGATAGCCTCTTTTCTGACAACACTTTCTTCGTTTTGCTTTAGTGCTTCACTCTCTCTTTGGTTTCTATGTTTTTCCTGTTATTTGAGTTCTTCATGCAATATATTATTCAGGCTTGCACAAACAAGGATGTGCTATAAAGGCATACAGTGAGAATAGAAAAGACCCCCCCCCCCTTTAAAATAATCACATTTTGTTGCTTTGCAGCCTGAAATGAAGACGGACACAGTTTTAGTTTTATCCAGCTGTATTTACTCAGTGCAACTTATAACATCCAAGTTAAAGATATAACACCAACACGTCAGGAAAAAAAATAAAAATTTAAAAATAGATTCACTGAGTTGAAAAAAAGATCACCCCCTTGTGTCAGTATTTTGTTGAACCACCTTTTGCTTTAATTACAGCCTTTAGTCTGTTGGGATGTCTCTACTAACTTTGTAAATCTAAACTCTGCAATATTTGCCCACTCGTCTTTGCAGAACTGCTCAAGTTCAGTTAAATTTGATGGTGACTGTTTGTGGACTGCAGTCTTCAAGTAATTCCACAGATTTTCATTGGGGTTTAAGTCTGGGCTCTGACTAGGCCATGCATTCTCCTTCAACCACTGTGTGCTCAGTTTTGCTGTGTGCTTTGGGCCATTGTCATGTTGGAAGGTAAACCTTCCCATTGACAACTTTCTGGCTAAGGGCAGCAGATTTTCCTCAAAAAAATTGATTTTCCTCAATTTGATGGTATTTTGCCAAATCCATTTTTCCTTCAATCCTGACAAGTGCTCCAGTCCCTGCTGCAGAGAAACATCCCCATAACAGGACATTACCACCTCCATGCTTTACTGTAGGAATGGTGTTATTTAAATGGTGATCAGTGTTTGATAACCGCCCAGACATATTGTTTTGTGTTGAGGCCAAACAATTCAATTTTAGTCTCATGTGGCCTCAGAATCTTCAAGGTGCATTTTGGCAAAGCTCAGTCATGACTGCATGTGGCCTTTCTTGAGAAGTGGCTTTTTTCTTGAAACCCTCCCATACAAGTCACATTTGTGGAGAATTTGTGATATTGTTCACATGCACACAATGACCACTCTTTGTCATAAATTCCTGCAACTGCTTCAGAGTTGCTGTAGGCCTCTTGGTAGCCTCTCTGACCAATTTCCTCCTGGCTCTTTCATCCAGTTTGGAGTGACGTCCTGATCCAGGGAGGGTCTGTGTTATACCAAATACCTTCCATTTCTTAATAGACTTCCCTGTGCTTCTAGGCATTGATAAAGCCTTTACAAATTTGCCACCCATAGTTGATTGCTTGCTTCAGTTGCACAACCAAGGACTGAAATGCTCCAAGAAAGCTCTTTTCATGCTGAGCTAATCAAAATGAACACAGCTGATCGCAGTTGAGAGTCAAATGACTTGTGTGCCATTGAGAAGGTGATTAGATACACCTGACTGAGTTTACAAGTCATTTTTCCAACTCAGTGATTCTGTTTTATTTATTTTATTTTTTTCAACATGTTGGTGTTATATCTTTCACTTGGATGTTATAAGTTGCACTAATACAGCTGGATAAAACAAAATCTGTGTCTGTCTTTATTTCAGGCTGCAAAGCAACAAAATGTGATTATTTTAAAGGGGGTGATTCTTTTCTATACCCACTGTATGTTTGTGGCTGGATTTAGCTTTGTCGTACAGGCCCCTGCTCAGTTCATGCACTCTATGTCAACACAGAAGTTATGTTATCTCTACCACTGCGTATCCTTGTGCGTACAAGTTGTAAAATTGTATATAACTTTACACAGAAAATATTGGTAACCAATTTTATCCAGGGTTTTTAAAATCAAATATAAAGCTTTTTTAGACATTTAAGGGCTGGACAAATAAAATTAATACTGTTTGTCCAGAACAAACCAATACAATCAAAAAATCCTTTACTTTTAATTAAACAGACTGGAGCACACATTAACGAGGACTTAGTACTGCTTATAAGCAAAACAGGCTGCAAATAACTGCACATTTTAAATACTCAAAATACTTCATTCAATATGTACTGAAATGGGTATAATGGAAGTCAATGGGGACCTGAAACTATTATCCACATTCTTCAAAATGTCTTCTGTGTTCAGCACAGAACTCATACAGGTTTGGAACAACTTGGGTGAGCAAATGACAACAGCATTTTTATTTTTTGGTGAACTATTCCCGTAGTGTTTCCTTACAACAGCATTTTTATTTTTTGGTGAACTATTCCCGTAGTGTTTCCTTCCCGTGATGGGGCAGCCCAAAAAGAAGCTACAATAGTTTGTTGAATTAAATGCCAGATACATTTTATTGTGCAAACAAAACACCAAAAATAACAGAAAGGATTTTATGCATAATGCAAGACTTTAAATTATAAACAAGCCTGTAATACGCTGAGACTCTTATTTTGAAATGTATGTCCTTTCCTACTTAGAGCTGCTTATTCAAATAGATAGAGGTAAAATATGCACTCTTACAACAATCTACAACATATTACAACATTAACACCATAAAGTTAACATCATTATTCATCATTAGCAGTTCAATGTGCAATCGTTTAGGTAAAATATGTGCTATTAATTGACTGTGAACTGCTCTGAAAACGCAAACCTTTAGAATGTGCAACAGCGCCACCTTTTTTAATTTGAATGTGCAATGCTCACATTTATTTAAAGGGGTGATTGATTGCGATTTCACTTTTTTAATATTAGTGTGTAATGTTGCTGTTTGAGCATAAACAATATCTGCAAAGTTACGAAGCTGAAAGTTCAATGCAAACAGAGATATCGTCTTTTAAAATTCTGGCAGTTTAATGCCCACAAAAACGGCTGGTAGGGACCACAACAAGTTACTTCCTGGGTTTGTGACCTCATGGATGTGGAACGAACCAAAAGAAGGGGGGGCCCGGGGGGTATTATGTCCTCCTACATAATACATACATAGTTCATAAACATACATAGTAACATGTAACATAATAGGCTATAAACAGTACTAATGATATTAGTTAGATGTCTGATATGTTAGCTTAGGTATTTTTATTCTATGATTCTTCCACGATTCTGAAAACAAACATTAGACAACCAAACAAAACACGTAATTTGAGTTTCTGACAATGTTTTATTTAATGTTATAAATGAGTCTATTTATAAATGTCTAAAATGTTATAAATGAGTGTATTTAAAAATATTTATTAATTTAAATTAATTCATTATGTAGCTAAAAAATCGTTTGAAAAAGAAAAAAGAAAATGAAGACTTGTTTCATCCAGAGTTTTTGAATGAATCTCTTGAATGATTCAGACATCAAATACATTTAACAGTCACTGTTTGCCACCTACTGCAATAATGTAACACCATATACAATCTATATTTGAAGCGTATCATTAGTTCCAAAAGTTAATTACTCGTTTTGATCGAGGCTGCCGCAACATCAGAGTCTATATCCAGATTAAAAAACTTTTCTCCAAATACTTTTGTTATTCTTTAGTGTTTGCAACACAGAAATGTAGCCTACTGTGTAAGTAGACTGTTTTTGTAGACCGTTTCAATAATAAAGCTTAAGCTACATGATGAGCGCTGGCTGCGTTGCTCTACCTGGATCAGTGGCTGCACGAAAGCAGGTTTAAATATTCCGATGTTATTGTGTTTTCAAAGGTTTAATAGACATAGCAGAATCACTGTCATTTAGGAATAAGATCACGTGTTTTAATTAAGATCGCAATCTTTTAATGATTAAACATGCACACATATGAGCCTATAGCCTATGTTTTTTTTTTTTGTAGCCCATGTCATATTTGTACCAGACCTCAAAAGTAACCCGCTTCCGCGACCCATGCATGACGTCACAAACCTAAATAAACCCCGCCCCCGGGAACATGCAACAAAGGGGGCGAGGCCATGCTGCGCTGCTTTAGAGAAGAGGAAGAGAAAACTAGGGATGCACGTAAAAATCTATTCATATATGAATCGTGATTCTGTCTTCTAACGATTCTAATGGATTCACAAGTTTGGACTACAATGCATATTTTCCGGGATTTTTGATATCACAAATACCGACGAATGGGACGAGACCTGGTTGAGCTGCACTAGGGAAGGCAACGAGTGTTATGATTATGTCGGAGACACGCTAGCTTTCCCAAGGCAGGGGAACTTAGAGTGTTTACAATCATCCGGGTTTAAATCGCACTCAAATTGATTTGATTTTGATGCAATATTTACACTGAAGCTCGCAGGCGGCTATGGTAAGGGGCATGACATTTCCCGACCAAGCGCCAAGTGGTGTCAATCACAACACACACAGCATGATCAGTATTTAAACTAAATTAGATTGTATAATTTCGAAATTTGAAGCAAAAACAGAATGATTTGACTTCAGTTTAGTGAAACTATACATAAAAAATATCTGCATGAAACCGCAACAGCAGATGAGCTGAATGAGACGCAGATTCACTCTCTGCCAGCAGGTGGCGCTTAAAGCGTTTCCTTCGTTTCCGCTGTAAACAAAGCAGCGCTGCACTTATGAACTTTAATGTGCATTATACAGAGGCAAGAAGAAAAGAAAAAAAATTCCATCTATACTTTTCTAAAGACAGTAAGTTCCCCTCAGACATGCATTCATATAAACTCCTACCCCTAATTGAATCGCGATTTGTTTAGCATCTTAACCGATTTGAATCGTCACATATTTAAATAGATTTTCAACTGGCTCGCGGTTAATTGTTACATCCCTACACACTGGCCCAGCTAACCAATCACAGCACATTTCGTATTTCAGAAGGCAAGCCTTCATTTGATCCAGGAACTATTCGAGCCGTTCATGCCAGACTGGGGACAGAGGTGTTGTAATAATGTAAAATATGTGAAAATAATGTGTTTTTCGAACAACCTAGTATGAGAGCATGTTTTAGTACACCCCCAAAACAAAATCAAGACTTTGTAAAAGAGCATAATAGGACCCCTTTAATACTGTTCCTCACGTCCGCTGCTCTGCACATGCTCTGAATCTCTCTCTCTCTCTCTCTGTCATTCAGCTCAATCGTCACATATTTAAATAGATTTTCAACTGGCTCGCGGTTAATTGTTACATCCCTACACACTGGCCCAGCTAACCAATCACAGCACATTTCGTATTTCAGAAGGCAAGCCTTCATTTGATCCAGGAACTATTCGAGCCGTTCATGCCAGACTGGGGACAGAGGTGTTGTAATAATGTAAAATATGTGAAAATAATGTGTTTTTCGAACAACCTAGTATGAGAGCATGTTTTAGTACACCCCCAAAACAAAATCAAGACTTTGTAAAAGAGCATAATAGGACCCCTTTAATATTGTTCCTCACGTCCGCTGCTCTGCACACGCTCTGAATCTCTCTCTCTCTCTCTGTCATTCAGCTCAGCTCCAACAATGAACTGATCCAATTATACAGTTATTTTCACACAGCTATGAGAAGCGTTAAACATGGACGCGCATGCAGTTGCCGTACTGTATTAAAGCTTTAATCAGGATAAAACCGTATATTAAAAGCTAACATAAGCAGTAGCATTTACAATAACAGCGTATCTAAAAGTATGAGACAACAACAAACAAAAAACATAGGCCTACCATCAGGGGCGTCATGCACTCATTATTTTTGAGGCGGCACGATTTGGGGGATGGGGGGGCTGGGGGGTCCTCATGTGACACACAGCAGCCACAACAGAACTTATGTTTTATTTATTTTTTCCTTTTTATTCGAAACATCCCCAAACGCATTAACTATATCATGAAATATCTTGATTCTCACCTTTATAGATTATGTTGATCGTGGGCGATGGTCAAAGTAACCTAATAAAATAATTATTAACTATGCATAAAAACCTGTCTGTTTACTTAAAGGTGCAATAGGTGATTGTCTTCAGAAACATTTTTTGTTATGCTGGTTGGAAGTCTCTTCACATCCCGATAGCAATCATTAAGTTAAGTGGTCTAAATGTATTTGTCAGTATTTATATGTTCTGTGGAAGGCGTAGGATCAAGAAATGTTTGTCCAATCAAAACACTCGGTCCGAGCGTTTTAATATGCTTTCCTACCTGCCTGTCGACGCATGTATTAGCATACCTCTGCGCACCGGGTTCGCGCAGACAGGATACGTCATCAGCTCGTTCACGCACACTGTGCAGACAGAGCGAGAATTGGCACATGCCCTCTCACTTTGAATGGGCATGATGCCTCTGCCTACCATTAAAAGCCATACTTGCACAGGTTCTGCATGATCCTCTTCAATAATATCCTCTGCTTCTCAATCGGGCTCAAACTGATAAGCGATATTAACGACGCTGTTGTTTACAATACAACCAGAGCACATGCCGCTGAGGTGAGGGGCAGGACGATTAGACGAGCACTAGAGGCAGTTTAGCCAATCACAAAACACTGGGCTAGCAAACCAATCAGAGCCCATCGCCTATTTCTGAGGGAGGGGCTTCATAAAAGCAGGAAATGATCAGCACGTTTATCAGAGAAGGGACAGAGCGGTGTGGAATAAAGGTAAATTATGTGAAAAATAATGCGTTTTTTTTTTTTCAAAATGAAGCATTAACATGTTAGACTGCACCCCATAAACACAATCAAGCCTAGAAAAAAGTGAAAATAATGTGTTTTTCGAACAACCTAGTATGAGAGCATGTTTTAGTACACCCCCAAAACAAAATCAAGACTTTGTAAAAGAGCATAATAGGACCCCTTTAATACTGTTCCTCACGTCCGCTGCTCTGCACATGCTCTGAATCTCTCTCTCTCTCTCTCTGTCATTCAGCTCAGCTCCAACAATGAACTGATCCAATTATACAGTTATTTTCACACAGCTATGAGAAGCGTTAAACATGGACGCGCATGCAGTTGCCGTACTGTATTAAAGCTTTAATCAGGATAAAACCGTATATTAAAAGCTAACATAAGCAGTAGCATTTACAATAACAGCGTATCTAAAAGTATGAGACAACAACAAACAAAAAACATAGGCCTACCATCAGGGGCGTCATGCACTCATTATTTTTGAGGCGGCACGATTTGGGGGATGGGGGGGCTGGGGGGTCCTCATGTGACACACAGCAGCCACAACAGAACTTATGTTTTATTTATTTTTTCCTTTTTATTCGAAACATCCCCAAACGCATTAACTATATCATGAAATATCTTGATTCTCACCTTTATAGATTATGTTGATCGTGGGCGATGGTCAAAGTAACCTAATAAAATAATTATTAACTATGCATAAAAACCTGTCTGTTTACTTAAAGGTGCAATAGGTGATTGTCTTCAGAAACATTTTTTGTTATGCTGGTTGGAAGTCTCTTCACATCCCGATAGCAATCATTAAGTTAAGTGGTCTAAATGTATTTGTCAGTATTTATATGTTCTGTGGAAGGCGTAGGATCAAGAAATGTTTGTCCAATCAAAACACTCGGTCCGAGCGTTTTAATATGCTTTCCTACCTGCCTGTCGACGCATGTATTAGCATACCACTGCGCACCGGGTTCGCGCAGACAGGATACGTCATCAGCTCGTTCACGCACACTGTGCAGACAGAGCGAGAATTGGCACATGCCCTCTCACTTTGAATGGGCATGATGCCTCTGCCTACCATTAAAAGCCATACTTGCACAGGTTCTGCATGATCCTCTTCAATAATATCCTCTGCTTCTCAATCGGGCTCAAACTGATAAGCGATATTAACGACGCTGTTGTTTACAATACAACCAGAGCACATGCCGCTGAGGTGAGGGGCAGGACGATTAGACGAGCACTAGAGGCAGTTTAGCCAATCACAAAACACTGGGCTAGCAAACCAATCAGAGCCCATCGCCTATTTCTGAGGGAGGGGCTTCATAAAAGCAGGAAATGATCAGCACGTTTATCAGAGAAGGGACAGAGCGGTGTGGAATAAAGGTAAATTATGTGAAAAATAATGCGGTTTTTTTTTTCAAAATGAAGCATTAACATGTTAGACTGCACCCCATAAACACAATCAAGCCTAGAAAAAAAACTACAAATTCCTTCAATGTTATGATATTTTGTGATTATACTAACATCCGTGGTGTGAATTCTAACACAGTGACAATGCTGATTTATATACACAGACAAAACATACCTTAGGGGAAACCACTTTGATAAGCTCATTCAGGAAACGGAACTTCCCCACCTCATTATGGAACCTTTTCCCACAGTTCTTCACACAGGTCTCTAGAACCTTAGGACAAAAACACACAGTGCCAAAGAGTTATGCTTTCCCTAACAACGAGAATAATGTAGGTAGATCATTTATCAATATCATCTGTATGATTCATAAAAGAACATTTATTCCCAATATCATTTCTTGTAGAAGAGATTTCATGTTTCGAATTTGACTCATTTGTAAGTTCATGTTACTTAATGTATTAACTAACGTTAACAAATGAGACCTTAATGTAAAGTGTTACCAAAACTTTTAATGATCTATAAGCATTTGTGAAATAATTATATAAAACCATATTACCAATAGAGTATATATTAACATATTTTATGTATTTGTTTGTCGTTCTAAGTAATTGAACTGAGCAGTAAACGATCAGGCTTAAAAGATGTCTTATCCTATGAGTGAGAGAAGGTAGGATACAGTGGGGAAAAAAGTATTTAGTCAGCCACCAATTGTGCAAGTTCTCCCACTAAAATTACAGGCCTCTCTCATCTTTTTAAGTGGGAGAACTTGCACAATTGGTGGCTGACTAAATACTTTTTTGCCCCACTGTATATAAAACTTTTTGTGATCTATAAGATTTTTTATTTTTTATTTTAATGCTCTATAAGTATTTCTAAAATAATTATGTAAAAGTATACTGATTCTTAAATTCTATGCATTTATTTGTCATTCTAATATATGGAGACTGAGCTGAACAAGATTAGGCTTAAAATATTTCTAATCCTATGATACAACCTTAGTATTACAGCCTTCATGTCAGCTGAAACCGTCTATGATAGTTTTAAAATTTCTGCTGGTCCCTGAGCATTTTAAATTTATGAAACTAAGCATGTTTCAGAATGACTTGTTCTACATATGTACATTTTTTTTGAAGAGCTTGGATAATGCACTTTAAAGATGAAGAAGAAAATTACTGTTATATTTTTTACTGTTATATTTAATAAATCACCATGGCAAGCACCGGTCAAGAGATCTAAAATCTGTTCGCAATTTAGCATCTTCAGTATCTTGGCATCATGTTGACAAAGTTTGATGTGAATTGCATGATTCTCCTAGGAGGAGTATGCATTAATTCACAGCCTGATTTTTCCAAAAATCCACATTCAAACCATTAGAAAGTTGTCTGGCTTGATGAGAACAATATATGTACCGAGTTTGGTGACTGTAGTAAAACTAACCCCCCCCCCCACACTTTTATCAAAAGGTGGCGCTATAGAGCGCATTGAACATTTAAAATTTAACACAATTAAGTTTTTTGTATTTTCAAAAACTTTGTATTTTGACAAAAGTGAACCGAACATATTCCCTCCCGGTCACCGTAGTAATTGGCCAAAATGCTTAGTTCGATTTTCAGAGATCATCTACTCTTCCCTGTGGTTGAACTCTACCTACTTTGTGCGATCTGAATTTCGGCATTTTGAATTTTAGAATATTGAATGTGATGTTCTGAATTTCTTCATCTTGAAAACTTGAAGCTGTATTTTTAAAAACTGGATATTTGCAGTTTAAGAATTCAGAACAAAACATCCGCTGTTTGAAAATACATGTCTATAAAACTCAATTGTGTTAAATTTCAAATGTTCAATATTCAAGTAAAAAAAAAATTATCAAATTCAAAACTATGTTAAATGCCTCATAATATTCTGTTTTGTTAAATGACACTTGTCAATAATTCAAATTGACAATTCAAATTCATATAGTTTTGTCATATTTTAAGCTACATATAACCCCGGGTATTAAGACTTGTATGGCTTAATATAACGTATATGATGTCTCTTACTGAAATATGTAGTAGAAAACCCATAAACGATTTACGTTATTTAAAAAATCCACATCATTTTATACATATTTTGGACTATGAGGGGCGCCATTATTTCAATGATGTCAAATAGTTGCACTCGGAGAGCTATTGGCGCTATCTGTTAATTTTACCGCAACACAACTCGGAATACTGATATGATGCCACATTGTGTGGCTTTTGGTTGTAAAGTTCCCTTAAACTAAATTCAAGTTTGACACATTGCCATGGCAACAGTATTTAAGATATCAAGAATCCCTTTGCAGTTTTGCATCTGCTGTGTTGTGACATTATTCTGATGAAGATTGAAGACAATCTAGTAAAAATAAGAGGCTAATTTCAAAACATTCTGAAAATGACACACTTCCTGCTGCCAGTTGGTGGCACCATAACTTTAACTCCTAATTGTCATATCTATGTGATCGGCCTTGTATGACGAACAAACAGCTAATGTTTGATCAAAATCAGACAATGTGTGCAAAAGTTATTAGACGGTTCCATTTCTCGCCATAATTTTGTCACCTCGCCACGGCCAAACCGTTCGAGATATCAAAAATCCCTTCGCAATTTAGCATCCCCAATGTTTTAAGCAGTACTGCCAACTTCTTTCAATGGTAAGTAGCTAAAGCTTGCTCGAAAAGTCACATAGTTTTTTTGCATTCTGCCTACACTGTAAAAAATCCAATTAACAAAATGTTGGAAGGGCAAAAATACAAGTTGAGCTAATTTTATTGCTTGGGCTTAGTTGAGAGGACATATTATATTAAGTCTACACAAATATATTTGATTATTTGTGATTATTATTACAAATATTATTTTCAAATCCAGTCAACAATTAGCTATGCTAATGTTGACTAAACTAATAAAAACTAATCCAGCCAACACTGAGATCATTCCGCATGTGCACGAGCCTGAGTGACTTTGCGGGAGAAACAGCGCCTTCTTGTCAAGTTCACGAGTCAGGTAAGTGCCACTAAATAAATGTTATTTTTTAGACTAAATTTATAGACAAAAACATACAGCATATCCGATGTTTTTGAGTGGATATTTAGAAGTGTTTTTGCTTGTGTCGTGTGTCCGAAGATAAATGAATATTTAGGCTATGTTAAATGTATGTCAAGTTCACACGACAGGTAAGTGGAACTGAATTTGTACTTGGACTGAATTTATCAATACTTGTATATTTAAAAAACGGTGTAAACGTATAATTTAAAACGTATGTATTTATACACAAATGTACAACACGTATAAAAACATCGAATAAGCGTTGTGTGAATATGTCTGAGGGAAATGAGCTATTTAAGTGAAGGGAACGTGGTCTTCTCGTTTAATCCATAAAACACTTAATGTCAAAAGCTGTGTTACTATAATGAATTTTAGGTTTCATTTTGGCGTGTTGTATGATGTTTTTGTGTTTCCGTGATGTTAAAAGATATGAAGAGATCATGCGGTCTCTCTCTTTTATAAGCCATTGATGCTTACTATGACGAAACGTGTAATGTAAACCACAGCAATACACTTATTTGAAGTTAACATGGGCGTGTTGAATGGGTTTTTGCGTGCAAACTTTTGCAATTGTCCCGTGAAGTTTAAAGTCGACATTAAACATGACTAACAACCAGGCTCTTTTCAAAGGGGGCGGATTACACAGCGTTTCTGGTCTCGTGAAGGCGCTTCGGAGAGGAGTTTGTCGTTCCAAATGAGAATAAACAACTGAACCCTTTCACACGGCTATTATCAAAGCAGACTGCGTCTCAGTCAGTTCCGTAGGTAACGAATCACTAGACTGTGCACACGAGTCCCTGCACTGGTAAAGAGACCATGGCTTAGTAAACATTGGGACAATTGATCAATCAATTTGTAAAACGTCACCACTGGTATTTATCAACAACAGGCAGGCATATTTTGATATTATTTTAATGCTGTTTAAGGTAGACTTATAATATGAAATGTGCATGTTCTGTTACAAATCCTTGCAACTAATGAACAGTCAACATCAATGCTCCCTGTGTTGTGCGATGGACTGAGATTTTGTGTGTGCCAAAAAAAATGGTTGCAACTTCTGTTTCATCACAAATTTAATTAACTGGTATTACATTTTAAATTATTTAAAAGGCATCATTTCATTTTTTGAGATAAATTGTACTTTATTTTGGTTCCTTCGACACAATTTTTCTGTTTAATACTGTAAAGTTGCTTTGACACAATCTGTAATGTAAAAAGCACTATGTAAATACAGTGACTGGACTTCACTTGACTCAGTTCAGTTGAACTAACACCTGGTTTATTAATTTTTTTCTGACTTCTGCCTCATTTTAAAGATGTAATCGTGAACAGTAGTAATATTTGTAAATGTTTGTTTGCAAACATTTTGTTTAACTTGTTTAGTCTTTAAGTTCATTAAACAATTTTTTTTTTTAATTTTGCAGTTGTATTACAAATGTAATGTTTGACAACTGGAGCACTTTAAAGGGACAGTTCACTCAAAAATGGAAATTTGCTGTTATTTTATTGACCCTCAGGCCATCCCAGACGTCAGTGACTTTTTTTCTTCAGTAGAGAGAGCGAGAGAGAGGAGTGCACAGCGGTAAAACAAAACATTTGAGCATGTTAAGGGCCCAAAAACCTTGACGAAAAATAAGAAGAAGAATCCTTAGAAAAACAATAGGTCCCTGCACCAATGGCTTGGGCCCTTAATAATAATAATAATAAATGGAGCAATTCCAACAGGGTCCTCGAGGGTCCTCTCACCATTGGTGCTCAGGCCCTAAAAAGAAAATGATATTATAGAGCTGTTTCAAGCACTGACTGACTGAATGATTTTATCAGCCTCAGGTATCAGCCTCAGAAACACCTTTCTTCAGATACAACAGTGACCAGTGCGGTTAACAAGAGTTGCAGAGCAGTGTATGTGACATGGCAGGAGATGGGGCTCTTTTTTGTGCGCAAGCTGAGCAACCTTCTGTTGCGAGGCTTATTTAAAATAAAATGGGTGAACCATAGGAAAGACCACTACTGCTGGGTGTCAATAAATCTTTTTAAATATCAAATAATTTGACATTTTTACAAGGCAAGGTTATAAATGAATTAATAATTTATAACGTGTACAAAAAATCTTGCCGTTTACCTCGAAAACAATATTTTAAAACATTTTGAGTTAAGATGTTGTAACATTAATATATTAAAGGTACAAGGAACACGTGTTACTTTTTTTACTTGAGATTTTATAGTGATTAAATTAAACGTTTGTCAAGGATTAAGAGGAAGGATTAATTTTTGTTCTAGCCATCAAGGTTCTCTGTGGTTACTAGCAAAAATGTACTTTAGCTTATTATAGTGTCACCTTGTGGCCGATTCTCCTTAAATTGAATACACAGCTTCATGCCGTTTCCTTGAACAGGCTAAATGTCACATCAGTCATTCACAAAGAAGTAATTAACTGCTGAAATCTGATTAATTTTTGTTGATTTGTATGATTATTTTTTATGGCTTTGTTACCACTTGCCTTGAAGATACACATCAAATTTTATTTTCCTTGATCAAATGGATCAAATTTACGACAGGTTTATATTTGTAGCACCCCTTATAGGCAGACAAAATTTTATGTTTATTCTCAGAATATCCTGTTGTCTATGTGTTCAAGTTTCACTATGTCTGGCGTTCAGCAGTTTTAAGTTAATTAGTCAAAATGAGTGAAACCAGATCATTTAATTAGCTTATATCTTAGCAATGTTTTCATAAATCAAAAGTTTGCAGCAAATTAGCAGCAAATCAGTACAAACATAATAGGGTTCCAGCATATTATAGTGCTGGGACCCCTAATCAGTCTTTGACTACACAGAGTCATCCACACCCCTGAAAAAAACCCAGAATGCTGATCTTACCATGAGTGCCTGCATGGCCTCCCACTCCTGAGGGGATTGAATCTTGTGAGCAAGAAGTCTGGTGGCCAACTGTGGACTAAAGACACAATGTATTTAGCACAATAAAAAGAATAATCCGTAAATCCAGACCCCTGAACATTCACACTAACAAAAGCAAAAGATATAGGAGCTATTTATTTTTACATTCCTAATTAAGACTTGACTTTCTCTTACATTTCCTGGTCATGTGAAACTTACCTAAATAAGGACAGGTAACTTTACCCTTTGATTGTGTGTTTATCCCTTTGGGATTGTTATACGAACATGCACGGCCACAATGACAAAACAATCACATTCAATAAACCCTAGAAAAAGCCTGAGGAAAACTAAAATACAAGTACTACAATGGCTTTTCAGTTCTTCAGAAGCTCAGTGGTCACTGTAATGAGTTTGCTCGACTGTCCCTAACAGAACAGAAGTTAATTTGTAGTCAGTAAAACCAATATCTCACCAAGGTATTGAGCCACTGCTTGAGGCTTAAAATGAATTTAAAAAACAGACTAGTGAGACGTCACCATTCTGTGTGAACAGTCCATCGCTGCGCATATTTAAGAAGAAACATTTAGGTTTAAAAATGACTGAAATGTGGACGCACCCTTCAGGTTCATTGCTGAGTTGGTCACAGAACAGTTGAATACTCTCCCAATCAGTTTCTCGATTTAAAGGGTTGGTCGCTTTGTCTACATGTGACACATAAAAAAGCAAAAAAGTTAGAAAGACTTAATAGAAAAAACCTTACCTACAATAACCTACAACAAGCATATCTGCAATTTCGCATAAACATAACAACATCTGTAAATCAACAGTTATAAGATACAAAAGCAAACGATAAGAAATCCTTTCAAAGTATTTTAAAACAATGACCATGAACAGTTATTGAAATCAAACATCTGAATCTAGAAGCTGAGATATATCAACAAGAAATAGTTTTAAAACATTTATATCATGTTAAAATTTTTCCTTGTTCATTGTAGATTAATTATAGCCCATTATTATCTTACTATCCAGAAATCTAATTACTTTTAAAATCAAAATTCTCTTTCCAGTAAGCCAAAACCAGACTAGTTCCATCGCCTGCATTGTGAAAAATGCCCATTGTATATTGAAATGGAGGTAGATCTGAATGTGATTAAAGATTAGGAAGTCAATTAAAAAAATTATACAAAATTAAATGCATGGACAAAATAATCACAATTACCCAGTGACATAATGAGAGAAATACATTTTAATTTGATAGTGACTTTAAAAATATTTAATAAATATTAATTTCTTTGTGCACAACGTTTTAATGAAGTTTTTTTTTTTTTTTTACTTGTAATCAGGAATGTTATTGATGTTGAGTCCACAGTTATTTTCAAAGACTTTAATTCAAAGGGTTGGAGACAGCGTAGAAACGGGTTGCCAAACTAAGTGATGACTGTGACTTAAGCATTACAAGTCGACAACATAAAACTGACAAAAGTGTAGGTCGGATATGGCTCCTTTAAGGAAACAGGCGAATGAATAATCTTTTCTTCACTTACATGGTTGATAGTAGTACGGAACTGTATGGTGTAAATTTGGACCTTACACTGTAGAAGCGTAACAAATATTTTATTATTGAAGGTCTTCATTCAATATTTTATTTATCATGTGATTCTGCTTACAGAGACTCCTCCCTTTTGATTCACGGACAGATAGTTTGCCATTTTACAACTCTTCTCTACCGGTCAAGCACAGAACACACACTCCCACAACAGTAAAAATACACGCACAAAACACACTAAAACAAAAGTGTGTCAGAAACTCAACTATATCGGCGTTAGCATGCTAATAACTCAACTGCCAACAACACCATGACACTCCGCATCTGCGTTCCGCAAAGCACTTACACAAATGTATCCTCTTAGGCGTATGCATATCCTTGTTATTAGCACTGTCACATAAGAATGTAATACATTTGAAGTTTAAATGTGTTTGACTTACTGATGCGGGACTCTAAGCTCTGCTCGTCAGGCGGAGCCGCCATCTTCACCCGAGATCACAAGACTCAAATCTCGCGATGAAACACGTGACTACAGAAGTACTTCTGCATTTGTATTTTCCTATAATGAAACAGTACATTCATATGGTGCATGTAACTTAACTTATACAAGTAGAGTAGTAACTGATTGAGTATGTTTCATGAACGCCTGAACGTTTTATGTATTTGTACTTTACGTGGAAACTATGAGGAATAAGAAAGAAGGAAAAACTAGGGGTTTTCCTCTTTAACGTCTCACTGTGCTGAAACCCACTGTAAAGTGAAGTGACATGTGGCCAAGTATGGTGACCCATACTTGGAATTAGTGCTCTGCATTTAACCCATCCAAAGTGCACACACACAGCAGTGCACACACACCCAGAGCAGTGGGCAGCCATTTATGCTGCGTCGCCCGAGGTGCAGTTGGGGGTTCGGTGCCTTGCTCAAGGATACCTCAGTCGTGGTATTGAAGGTGGAAGAGAGTGCTGTACATTCACTCCCCCCACCTACAATCCCTGCCGGTACGAGACTCAAACCCACAACCTTTGGGTTACGAGGCCGACTCTCTAACCATTAGGCCACGACTTTAAGTTCCTCTACTTACAGAAAGGAATCTATTCTTATGTTAAAAAAAAAAAAAAAACTAATTCCAAGGTTATTCATGCTAAATTCTTCTTTCATATACCAGCACATTTTCATTATTATTATTTTTTTTAATTTAGAGAGATTTATGAAATGCAAATCCTCCCAAAAAGTACATGTAAATTGAAGTCATAAAATAAATGTTTCAATCTGTTCCCCACAAAAAGATTTTTTGCAAACAATTTGATTTTGGCTTACCACTGGGAGTGCTCCTAAGTGTTCCTAGCTAGGAGTTTCAGATTAAAACCTATTCACGAGCAAGTTTTACTAAGGAACTCTTAATATAAGAGTAATGCAGGGTTTACTTATAATTGCTATGGATGATGTGTGTGTGTACATGTTTTTCTGAATACACATCAACTCATGGGGACTTGTGTCACCGTGGGGACCTAAATTGAGGTCCCCATGGGTACAGAAGCTTATAAATCATACAGAATGAGTTTTTTTTTAAGATTGTAAAAATGCAGCAAGTTTTCTGTGAGGGGTAGGTTTAGGTGTAGGGCGATAGACGTATGTGTGTGTGTGTGTGTGTGTGTGTGGTCCTTGTATTCCCTACATTATGGGAATACATAATGTCCCCACAAGTATAGTAATACATTTTGACCTTATGAGGAATTTTTTTGATCCCCATGAGGAAACAAGCTTATAAATCATACACAATGCTCTTTTTAGAAAATCTAAACAGAAGAAAGTTTTGTGCGAGGAGTAGGTTTAGGGGATAGGAAATACAGTTTGTACAGTATAAAAACCATTACCTCTATGTAATGTCCCCTTAAAACATGGAAACTCAACAAGTGTGTTTGTGTGTGTGTAAGATAAATAGAATATAATCAAGTATGGGCTACACACCCATGGCTAATTCTATTCAGTTGGCTCGAATCAATTTGAACTCTTAGTAATTAGTAATTGGGTTGTTATGTCTGACCCAGGAGCTGCAAATCAACTCAAACACTTGGTTGTTACATTTGACCCAGGAGGTGGGTAACACAAAAACTACCCAAACACTGAAAAAATGATCCAAAAAATGTTTTTTTTTTGTTCTGTTTACCCACAACTGTTTACTGACTAACAGGAGTTTCATGCTTATCTAAGAACTTGGAATAATTACAGATTGAACCATTTTGATTGAAAAGTTAAGACACAAAAATAATACCAGTTTTAAACCAATTATCAAGGAAAAGAGAATTGTGTTTATACAGTAGATTATTTTTACAGATTAGATAAGAGGTGTAAAATTGTGTTTAAAAATGGGGGACCAAGCTAACAACATTTGCCAATGAAAAAGGTTTGATTGGGATTTTCATAATGCTATAATTACACAGTAATAAGAAACTTAAACCACTAGTTTGGAAAAATAACGTTAGAGATTAGACTCTATATAGATGAGGGTTTATTAATAGTTATTTATCCAATTTATTTTAAAGGTATAATGTGTGTCAGGATTGTGTGAAGATATTACAACTGGTGTGGCATCATTGGGTGATTATATGAAAGTTCATATGGAAGTTATATAGATGTTAATATAGGGCTGGGTGATGTAGCTAAAAAACTGATCAACGATATAATGTTTCATATCGTTCGGTATCGATAATTATTGACATTTTTATAACCTTTTTTAAAACAGAGCAATAGAATTTTTTTTTTTAATTTAACCACTGTATTTTTAAATTAACCCAATTTATTGAGACAAACAACAAATATTTTTTGTTTTAACAGTCAAACACACAATAAAAATTTAATATCTAATTTCTAATGTTTTATATGCAGATTAAATAGGTTTTAAGGAAACTTTTGTCTCCCGAGGCCACAGGAGGGTGCAATAAGCAAAATAATGCAGCACATAATGTCAACGCAGGGAAATAACTGTCTATAAAAAACGTGCATTACGTCTAAATTAACTCGTATAAATCAAATATAATTTCGTAAATTGCATAAACAATTATGAACAAAACATCATGTATTTATGCATTGCTTAATACGAAGAGCCGAATCGCCCATCACGGAGATTGCATTTAAAAACATATGAGACGCAGTGAAAAGGAATAAACCTCCACAAATTCGCGACGTGTTTTCTAAAAGTTTAAACTGTTTTAAGTTTTCATGGCTACATCTCTTGTGTGAGACGCATATTTGTCCGTCTAAAAAAATGTACTGAATATGCGTTCTGTGTAAATGGCTTTGTTTTGTTTTGATCTTCTCCGCATTGAGCGTCTATATTTCTCTAATATTTTGAATGCATAACACAGCGCATCTCGTGGGCAAGACTAACAAAACATTAAAATGCAACGTCACTTACATCATTATCACCGCATCTTGTGCGCCACTGATGACGCTCCCTGACACACTCCTAACATTCAAATGCAAATGTTTATTTTAAATTCGACTAATATAATTTTTTTATTCACAATCTCCTCATCACAGGCAGGCACAGCACTCAATTTAACATGTGTTCATGTTTGTGTGTGCTGTCGGTGTCACTCAGTTTTTGTGCCTATATCGAGTTTTTTTTATATCGTTATCGAAGGTGTACCGTCGATAAATATCGATACCGTTTTATCGCCCAGGCCTATGTTAATATTTCAAAAATTCACCAAAAATACACAAAATCATATGTCCAAAATCCAAGTCATGTATGATGTGTGTCAGGATTGAGTGAAGACCTTACAACTGGTGTGACATCTTCAGGTCCCATGACCAGGAAGTTTAATAGATTTGTATGATGGAAAAATTCATAAAAAATACACTAATTGTTATTTTCGCAATCCAACTCGTGTATGATGGAAAGGAAATGTGTGTGAACAAAGTAGACTAGTTAATTCACCAAAAATACACAAAATCATATGTCCAAAATCCAAGTCATGTATGATGTGTGTCAGGATTGAGTGAAGACCTTACAACTGGTGTGACATCTTCAGGTCCCATGACCAGGAAGTTTAATAGATTTGTATGATGGAAAAATTCATAAAAAATACACTAATTGTTATTTTCGCAATCCAACTCGTGTATGATGGAAAGGAAATGTGTGTGAACAAAGTAGACTAGTTGTGATGTCATCAGGTCACATGACCAGGAAGTTTAATAGATTTGTAAATATTATTATTGATTTTGATATTATGCTTTTAAATGTGATCTGAACGAGATACAGCATGAACCATGACTATTATGCGATTAAGTTACATATAAATTAATGCTTTAGAAAAGATCGAATGTCAAACCAACTTTACCGCGATGGCACAGGGCACCGCCCGCCCACAGATTTAAAGGTGCAATGTGTAATATTTACATCGATCTATTGACAGAAATGCAATATAATATACATAATTATGTTTTCAGAGGTGTATAAAGACCTTACTTAATGAACCGTTATGTTTTTATTACCTTAGATTGAGCAATTTATATCTACATACCACGGGTCCCCTTACATGGAAGTTGCCACCATGTTTTCTACAGTAGCCCTAAACGGACAAACTGCTCTACACAGCGCGTTTCGTCACTTTGTTGTTCTTGTGAATAAAACACTGACACAACGATACAAGTTCATTAATATTCGCAATAACATCGATTTATTGAATAATTAAGTAAATACAATTCCTTAATTTACCTTTGTAAAGAAATCTCATTGCTCTGCTGTCTTTACCGACGACATCTTAGTCCTGTATCGGCCACCGTAGCTTCTCTAAAGGGAGGGGTGAGCGGGGGACTGAGCCGTTGGTTGCAACTCGCAACCTCACCGCTAGATGCCGCTAAAATTAAAGTCAAAGTTGACTTAAAGTCAAGTCACCCTCATTTATATAGCGCAATACAGGTTGTTTCAAAGCAGCTTTACAGTGATATCAGCAACAAAAAAACAAACAGACAAAAAAATATATACATATACATTGTCATTGTTCAGCTGTCAGTTCAGTGCTGAATCAGTTATTATTATAATAATTAGTTCATATTTCATTTATAAAAGTAGGTTGGTTCTTCAGATAGTGATGTCAGCTTAGTTCAGTTTCATGCAGCAGCGTCAGTACAGTCAGATCAATAATATTGTTGAATGTATAGAGCTTTCAGATACGACTTTACTCTTTCAGTTTTTTAATAGATTACCCAGTCAACAATTTGATCTCACAATGATGTCACCATGAGCTCACATGATTCTCATGGTGTGGTCACAATGTGTGTGTCACAGTGAGCTAAAAGTGTAACCACACAGCGCACTCACTGTGTGCTCATACTATGGTCAGTGTGAGGTCATTGCACACTCACTATGCGCTCATACTATGGTCACAATGTGAGGTCACTGCACACTCATACTGTTGTCACATTGTGAGGTCATTGCACACTCACTGCACACTCATACTGTGGTCACAATGTGAGGACACTGCACACTCACTGTGCGCTCATACTATGGTCACAATGTGAGGTCACTGCAC